CTGGGAGGCGCGGGACGCTGGAAGGGGAGGTCCCAGAGCCCAGAGGAAGGGAGGGAGAGGGGCGGGAAGGGAGGCACCTCGCGGGGAGGAGCGGCCAAGGCGGGGCGGAGAGAGGGACCAGTTTCCCTGGGCACCGGCCAAAGGTGCAGGGCCGCCTGGCTGGAGGACACAGCACACCGCGTTGCCCAGGAAGGCGGAGCGGGATGCGCCTGGAAGAATGAGCGTCAAGGAAAAGCACAGAGCAGGCGTGCAAAGAGGCAGGTCCTGACTTCACGTTATGTAGCTTCCTGCAGGCTGGCTTGATTCTGATGCCAAAGTGCCCTCATTGCCAACTCTGGATTGTCCACTGCACTTCTAGAGCCTGGCCCATAGGAAGCACTCAATGTATACCCGTTAAAGGAGCCAGTGAATGAATTCCTCTTATCCCCATCTACAAATGTGATGAGATCCCAATCAAATTCCAAGGACACCTGGTCAAATGATTTAAAATTCATACATACTAAAATTTAGAATATATGTATTTTTTGAAACAAATTTTATTTGCAGAAAATTACTCAAAAATAATTGCATAGCCCTGGCCAGCGCCGGGCTCAGTTGGTCGTCCTCCCGGGTACCAAGGGTTGCTGGTTTGATTACCTGTCAGGGCACTTTCCTAGGATGTAGGATCCATGGGGGACAGGAGGCAGCAGATGGATGATTCCCTCCCACATCTGTTTCTCTCTCTCTCTCTCTCTCTCTCTCTCTCTCTCTCTCCCCCTTCCTTTCTCCCTAAAAATCAATTTTTAAAATCTTTTTTTAATGAATACGTGTTCAGAGGTACTTACTATGAACATACTAGAAGATACTATTTTTCAGAAATTTTTGTGTGTTTTGTTGTTGTTAATCCTCACCCAATGATATTTTTTCCATTGATTTTTAGAGAGACTGGAAGGGAAGGGGTGAAGGGAGGGGATAGAGAGAGAGGGAGAGAGAGATCCATGTGAAAGAGACACAGTGATTGCTTACCTCCTGCATGCACCCCTACAGGCCAGGATCTAACTGCATCCCAGGTATGTGCCTTTGACCGGTAATCAAACCCAAGACCCTCTAGTGCTCAGGCTGATGCTCTAACCACTTAGCCACAACGGCCAAGCAGACATATTTTTAATATTAGAAATAGAATATACTGTCAAACAGAAATATAACATGCTTTCAAATTGTGGATGTGTATATTTATATATGTTTAGAATATCTGAAAAGATGTATAAAGGTATGTATAATTATTTTCAATTTAGTATGTGCATGATTTTTACTTATTTTAACCTTTCTCTTTTCTACCTATAACTATGAATTATTTTTATAATGAAAAAAATCTATTTTTATTTGGAAAAAGAAAAATAATATATAGTACAGTTTCTTTATTGTAAAGATGAAGAAATTGCTCTTAAGATATAAATTGTGAGTATATTTAAGCATTGATGATGGGGATAAAGAAGTTTGTCTAGATTATCTACCTGGAAAGACAAGCAGGTTAGGGTTCACCTAAAAGTTGGGTAATATTTTCTGAAACAAATATTACTTGTAGAAAAAAACCCATGCGTGGCCCTCAAATTGCATTGTGGCAAGACACTCTATTCAGAGGCAGATCCACTGGACTAATTAGACATACGTACCAGGAGATTAATGCAGCAAGACACAGCCACACAAATATCTCTTTTGCTCCCTCCCATACATGTTTTTTCTTTCTATGCAGGTCTATTTTGCTTTATTCGTTTCTCAGCATGGTTTTAGACCTGTGAATTGCCTTGCTCTCTACTATTTTACATTTATTCCTATTTCCACTGTATTCAACCTCATCTGTCCATTTTTGGGGGCTTCTTGCTACTCTTTGCCCTCATGTTTGTGTCTTTCTTCTCTTTAAAATCTCATTCTAACATAGTTGAAGAAACACATCTATTTTAATGTCCTACAAAAAGTCACAAATTCCTACATTGTTTCAGCTGTTAAAGTTTTTCATTGCTTGTATTAAATGTTTTACTCCATTCAAGTTCCTTTTACCTTATCTTTAAATTTTACTTTTCCTTCTTTTAGTCTTCTACCTTCCATTTCTTACATAACTTTAACTTTTTCTCTAGTTCTTCCCTTTCTCCTTTCTCTCCTCACTCCCCTCTTACTTCCCCAAAGCCCTCGCTGTGCGGCCCTAGGTGTGCTGTGTAATTTCTAGGCCTGTAAGTAATAAGTCTTCCCCACACACAAGTTTCCCAATGGCTTTTGCTCAAAAATCGTCTTGCAATCATAAGAAGAAACACAAGGGCTGGTCCAGCCACAACATTTGCTATTGATAGGTTGAGAACAGCAAGAAGCATTAGGTAAGCAACCTGATCCAACTAGGTGAAAATCACTACACAGAAATATTCTGCCACTTGTGCCCCATTGACTCCCATTGCTGTGCTGGTATTTTTATTTATTTTCATAGTTTATTGATGTTTTAGAGAGAGAGGAAGGGAGATGAGTGATTGGGGATCGAGCCACAATCCAGGCATGTGCCCTGACTGGGAATCGAACCAGCCACCTCTCAGTGCACGGGACGATGCCCAACCAGCTGAGGGCACACCAGCCAGAGCTGTGCTGGTATTTTTAGAAACCTGCTCTGGGCACCTCAAATTTTACAGCTACCAGCCTCTATCAAGTGCTTTTCAACCTTCCTCCTGTTTTAAATATTCTTGCTTCCTATGGAGTGTATCTCAGAGGACTTGCCTCTGGGTCAGTTCCATCATTACTATCTTCCAGTTTCTTATCAAACAGGCATTGCAGATGTGGAAATGCACACATACCCAGCAAAATGTATGGTACTTATGGTGCTGTTCTTTAAAAACAATAGTTAGTATTGCCTTATTTTAAGAAACTTTTTACTAAGCTAAGAGTTCCCTTAAGGCAGATGTTGTATATAAACCTGCTTTCCATGTGGACAACGTCCATGAAAATGCAAGGGCAGTAAATGAGATCATTTTCAGAATCATTTCCACTTCTGCTGTCAGTCCTTCAATGACTTCCTTTGCTGTCAGAATCAAGTTCAAATCCTTAAAATGACTGTTAGTCACTCTAGTGCAGCGGTTCTCAACCTGTGGGTCCCGACCCCTTTGGCGGTCGAACGACCCTTTCACAGGCGTCACCTAAGACCATCCTGCATATCAGATATTTACATTACGATTCATAACAGTAGCAACATTACAGTTATGAAGTAGCAACGAAAATAATTTTATGGTTGGGGGTCACCACAACATGAGGAACTGTATTAAAGGACAAGAAGGTTGAGGACCACTGCTAAGCCAAAGGAAAGAAAGAAGCGGGGTGTGAATATATAAGAACTTTAATGTGGAGTGAGATTCTGAAAAAATTACCATTGATCACTTAAGTTTTCTTGCTAGTGTAAGAATATATAGCTATTTGGTATTTATCATAAGTGGCATTATAGAGCAATAGGATTTAATATCAATGGGATCGTAGGGAGACTGAAGGAGATTTGGGGTAGTAAATACAATGTTATAGGAATATGGGCAAAATGCATTTAAGAATAATCTGTTAGCGAAATATTACAATGAGGTTAGGTGAAATTATTGTGGACCAAAGCAACCTGGTTTCATGATTTTTCTAGCATTGCTTGACAGCATCTGCATAAGAGCACAGAGAGCAAATGGATGGTATTTGCTCTAGAGCAAGCATGTCAAACTCAAAGGCTAACACTCGTGGGAGCTGTAGGATCCAGCTCATTCCCAGGGTACCAGGCAGACAGACCCGGGCCCAGGCCTCTCCGTGGACCTTGCAATGCCTCTGAACCAGCTCCAGCCCCACTCAGCCCTGGCCCGGAGCCCCTGGAAACACTGTCTTAGACAATCACCCAGGAACTAGAGAGCTTGGTGGGCAATCAGGTTTCTAGGGGGAGAGTGTCAGCACACCGTTTTAGCAATAACAACAATAATAATAAGAAGAAGAGTTCAGCTTTCCCAGCTGTGCAGGACTCCACCAAAAAAACTGATGTCTCTTTTGCGCCACCCTGAGGTCTGACGGGTGAGCAGCATGACTGGGTCAAGAGGAGGCTGGGAGAGCAGCTGGTAGGCCCATGGGAGGGTCTAAAAAGGATGCGGTTCCTACTAGCTGCATCACTGGACAGGCTGCCATAGACCCCTGATGGGCACACGGCACCCCCAGTGCCCCGCAAGCCTTTTCCAAACATCCATCTGTGGCCAGCGCCTTCTGAGTCCTCCCGAGGGGCTGCAGCAAGCCTGAGCACAGGCAGAGGGCTAGGTGCTCAGGAGGAAGCTGGCCCTAGTATTCAGGCCAAGGAGTACCCACCAATGTGAGCTCTAGCGCCACCTTTGGGAAAGCAAACCTAAATTGAAGAGCCCAAACTATAAAATTCCTAAAAAGAAAACAAAGGGGCACATGTCTTGCATTATCTTAGGTTGGCAAAATCTTACATAGAACCTCCACATCACAAGTAAAACAGACCTCATACATGCGCCAGACTTTTTTTCCCCATATTTTATTGATTTCTCACAGAGAGGAAGGGAGAGGGATAGAGAGTCAGAAACATCGATGAGAGAGAAACATCAATCAGCTGCCTCCTGCACACTCCCCACTGGGTATGTGCCTGCAACCAAGGTACATGCCCTTGACCGGAACCGAACCCGGGACCCTTGAGTCCGCAGGCTGACGCTCTATCCATTGAGCCAAACCGGTCAGGGCTGCGCCAGACTTTTGTGCATCAACGGAACCAGCAGGAGAAAGCAGACAACCCACGGAATGGGAGGCAATATTAGCAAAGCCTGTATCAGGGAAGGGTCTAATACTTCCTAGAGATGAGCAATTCCTGGAACTTGTGATGGTGAGAGTTGTATGTCAATTTGGCTGAGCTATGGTACACAGTTATATGACCACACACATTGCAATCAGTTGACTGTGGAGGTCATTACCCTTGGCAATGGGGGTGGGTCTGTTACTCAGCTGAAATGCTTAAGAGTAAAAATTAAGGTTTCTTTTTGAAGAAGAAATTCTGCCTCATCTGATAGTATGCAATTTTGCTGAGTGTTTTGTCTGCTGGCCTGCCTCACAGAACTCACATGTGTCAGCCCATAATGACCAGAATATGTTCGGGCCCCTCTCTGGCTAGACAGCTCTGCTTGGATCTGCTTCCCTCTGAGCTGCACTGGTCAGCTCCAACCGCTCTGCTGAGACATCGTCTGTGTTTCAGCTCCAGTCCAAGAAGCAGTCTTCCGTCAAAGGGGAAGCTGCACTCCCCCAGCCAGAGGGGAGATGGTGCAAATAGACAGAAGTCCAGGCCCTGAGACTTTTGCAAAGGACGGCACTAAATCTGCTGACCATAGTAAGCATCGCGCCTCGCATGGACAAAGAGGCCTTGGGGAGATTGTGAGAAAGGTGGGGGTGTTTTCCTCTCCCTCCTGGTTTTCAGGGCTTAACAGGAAGAGTCCCAACTGCTCCTCCTTCTAGAGCAGAGGAAGCGGCCCCGTCTCCTAGGACCCAGCAGTGGCCCCACTGGTGACGAACAGTTGCCCTGCCCACCTGAATACTCACTGACACCCGTGTTCTTGACACTGAGTGTTCTTCTGTCCAACTAGGACCGGGGATCCAGCAGGCGGGATGAGATGTAACAGCAGGACAGGGTGGCACCTGTGAGCTCCCAGGAGCCACACCTCAGGTGTCCCGCCCAGTGTCAGGAGACCCAGGAATTGCTACATAACAAGATCTGGGAATGACAGGGAGCCAAGGACACAGGTTCTCTAGACTGACCAACAGGGAGCGTCCAAGCCTGCCCTCACCCAAATCCTGCCCAGACTCACCTCTCCTCTCTGAGCTGCTCCAGGGCCCAGAACCAGGCCCCGAATTGCTCCTCGGGCTCTATTTTATACTTCTGGGCAGCCTCCTACAGCAGCACTATCTCCTCCATTACTTTCTGCTCCTGGGCCCAGAGGGAAGGAGAGGATGCAGACACTGCCTGAGTGGGGGTGAGGAGTGGGGCAGGGGCCCCTTCCTGGGATTTGCACACATGGGCACCCTCCATCCCTCTAATTCCATCCTGGTATTACCTGTGCTCAGTAATGGGCATCGACAGCCCTTCCTCCATGAGGTTATCCTTGATGCCACATCCTACCCCTAGCCACCAACTGGAGGGGTCTCCCACTTCTGTTATCAAACTCTCCCAATAAATGGAAGATGCAGGGGGTGGAGTGTGCTGGCCAGGGCTTCTCTGGTTGTCACACCCCTCCCCCAAGTCCATCAGAAAGAGCGCCCTGGCCAGGACTAGCCCCCTATGCCCACCCTTCCCATGTTGCACTACCACCAGGTCCAGGAGGGGGCACAAAACAGGGAAAGACAGGACTTGGATCTAGGCCAGGCTCTGGACTGCAGAGGAAGGGGGACAGATCACTTTGATGGGCATGTTGTACCAGGTCTCAGCAGCGGCTGTGCTGAGATCTGAGGGTTCCATACGGGGGCTCTGTGTCCCCAAAGGTCAATCTTGGTCGCCCCAGGTCAGCCCTAAGTCACGCACCTCCAGATAGTCCTCCATCCTAGGGTCCAACATCTACAGGTCAGTCAGAAATTTGCCAAGGAAGGGAACACACTGGGCAAACAGGGTGAGGGTGGGATGAGCCTCTGCTCTCAGGTAACCCACAGCCCTCCTGGAAAACCTCCCACCTTCAGCCTCTTGGCCACCCCAGGGTTCCCAAGTGGAACAGCCCAGAACCCTCAGGCAGTCCCTTCAATTGTGCCTTCCCTCACTCTCCAGGACTCCTCATAAGCACCCCCCAGGACCTCCTTTGGGCAAATCACAGGGTCAGTGGTCCCAGGCCAGCCCCAACCCCATATGCATCCTGCACCCTCCTCTTCCAAGCTCTCCCCTTGGTCATTTCTAAGGGAGGGTTTCAGGTTTTGTGGGCACAGGAGGTGGGGCTGGAGGAGGAAGGCCTCCCTCTCTTGACTTGGAAGCCTCGAGCTGGGAGCACAGAGCCCCCTCTCCTCTGACACTGGAGTGTTCCCCAGACAGGCTCACTCCCCTTCTTCTGCAGCCTGTTCTTGGATCCTCGGATATTCAGTATCTGAGTTGAAAGCCAAAGGACTGTTTCCCCTTGAGTGGAGGACAGGGTCATTGAGGTCATGCTCATCTCACCCCATTTACCCCACCACACCTGACCCCATACCCTGGACATCTGACCCAAGTCAGCTGGTACCAGTGCCACCCGGACTCCAGCATGCTCTGATTCTGGGTGCCTCCCAGCTACAGCGCTCACTCACTGTGTGTGAGCTTGGGCCTGGGCCAGGCCTCCCTGACCTGTTCTCACCTTGGAAAGTGGGAGACCTCCGCCTAGCTCACAGGTTCTCCTGAGGACTCAGTGTCACTACTGTGATCATTGTTCTCACCCTCAGCCCTTCAGGGGGGACAGGGCAGGGAGCTCTGCACAGTCCTTTCCTGCCCTGAACTTGTGACCATTCTGTGAGGCCTACAGCAGGGGATGGTCTCCCCTCCATGTCACTGCCCAGGAGATGGAGGACAACGAAGGGACAGTTATGTTCTTAGACTGTTCCAGCCCTGCTGGCTGTGGTCACCATAGACCCCTAGGTCCCTCTCTCATCTGTGATGATTTCAGTATCTGCATCACTGGCACCCCTTCCCTCTATCTTAGTCATAATTCTTAGTTCAGTACCACGTAATGACCTTCCAACACTATAGATTCTAAGCCAGCCGGGGGCAAACTATGGCCCGAGGGCCGGATCCGGCCCGTTTGAAATGAAAAAAACTAAAAAAAAAAAAGCCCGTACCCTTTTATGTAATGATGTTTACTTTGAATTTATATTAGTTCACACAAACACTCCATCCATGCTTTTGTTCCGGCCCTCCGGTCCAGTTTAAGAACCCATTGTGGTCCTCGAGTCAAAAAGTTTGCCCACCCCTGTTAAGCCCTCAGACCTCTTGTCTGCCATTCAGTGTGGGAGCAGCATGATGGAAATATAAGAGCCAAGCAGGGTGCTGGGGGCTCAGGTGGTGCTTATAGGAGAGTCAACTCAAATGCTCTAACTCTCAAGGGAAGCACAAGCAATTGTAGTTTCCTGGGCAACACAGATGATGCCTGGGAGAGACCCATTCAGTGTGTGGGACCACGAACTGGGCAGACAGGTGGATGGCTCCATTGCAGGTCAGGCGGCCCATTTAGAATTTGGAATTAAACACAGTGTGCACTGCCCTTGTATAACTCAGGGCCAGGTAAACAGGAATACCTGCTGCCTACAGTTTGTTACAGGAGGAGGACACACTGGAGCCACAGCAGTGAAGTAAGAATAGGCCCCACAGTGAAAGGCTAATTCATGGTAAGGGGTCCAGAGAGGCCAGGGGCTGGGTGCTTTGTCCTCCCTTCTGTGAAGAATGAGGCTGGATACACTTTCTCCCTCAGATCAGGAGCCACCTAGAGCACTTTGGAACCAGAACCCAGACTGGGGGCTCAGCTGGGATGTTTACATTTTGCTGGTCATTTATGCATATCCCAAAGCAGCTCAACTATCACCTCGATCCCACAAACCTTCACATCATCCTACACAACATCACCTCCTCACCATTTCTCTCTTTCTCCGCTTTACCTTTTGTTCAGAGCACCCAGCACATCCTGACTTCACGGATGTGCTGGCTGGTTTGACTCTTTCGTCCAAACATGCCATCATGACAAGCTCTTTGGGTTGAGCACTGCGCTTCTAGTGCCTGATCCATATGAGGCGATCAATACATACCTGATAAAGGAGCCAGGGAATGAATTCCTCTTAACCCAATCTACAAATCTGATGAGATCCCAATCAAAATTCCAAGGGAATTTGATCATATGATTCAAAATGCATACATACAAACATTTAAAATGTGTATTTTTTGAAACAAATTTTATTTGCCAGAATTGATTCAAAATGAATAAATGTTCAGAGGTATCTATACAACAATGGTCATCAAAGAATTATTTATAAAGTTGAAAACAAAATCACTTTAAGTTCATTAACTACAGCCAAATTATACAATTTATGACGAAGCAGGAGAAAAGATACTAGAAGATATTATTTTTCAGAAATAACTTTAATATTATTAAAACTTACAAAACACAAACATAACAAAAAAGACTTATAACTATGGGTAAGAGTATATTTACATGTATTATGAGGATATCTGAAAGGATAAATATAAATATTTGTATAGTTATTTCTTAGTCTAAACAAAAGAGATTATGTTGAGAATAATTTTCAGATCTGCAGTCAATCATTCATTGACTTCCTTTGGTGAGTATTTCCCTGGCCACCTAGGACTGTGGCTCCAGCTGGCAGGACCAGATGTAACTACAGGACAGAGTGGCACCTGTGAGCTCCCAATCTCAGGTGTCCCTCCCAGTGTCAGGAGCCCCAGGAATTGCTACACAGCAAGGTCTGGGGGGAGGGGGGATCAGGGAACCATGGACACAGGTTCTCTGGACCGACCAGCAGAAAGAGTCCAGCCCAGCCCTTGCCCAACTACTGCCCGGCCTCACCTCTCATTTTCACTGAGCCGTTTCAGGGCCCAGAACCAGGCCCGGAATTGCTCCTCAGGCTCTATTTTGTATTTCTGGGCAGCCTCCTGCAGAACCACTATCTCCTCCAAAACTCTCTGTACCTGGGGCCAGAGGGAAGGAGAGGATGCAGACACGGACCAAATGGGGGTGAAGAGTGGAGCGGGGGCTTGGTCCTGGGTCTTTGCACACAGGGGCACCCTCCTTCCCCCTAATTCCATCCAGGCCCTTCCTGTGCTCAGAGATGGGCATTAACAGCCCTTCCTCCAAGAGATTATCCTTGATTCCATGCCCCTACCCCAACCACCAACTGGAGGGGTCTCCCACTTCTGTTATCAAACTCTCCCAATAAATGGAAGATGCAAGGGATGGAGCCCAGGAGTGTGCTGGCCAGGGCGTCTCTGATTTTCACTCCCTCTCCTGCCCCGCAGGCTGTGCCACAGCTGCTAACCTTTTCCTTTCTTTCTATGTTGATCTGATTCCCCTAAAAGGCAGATATCCAAGGTCCATGAGAAAGAACACCCTGGCTAGGACTAGCCCGCTTTGCCCACCCTTCTCATGATGCACTACCACCAGGTCCCAGGAGGGAATGGGAAACAGGAAAAGGCAGGACTTGGATCAAGGCCAGACTCTGGGCTCCAAAGGAGGGGGGACACGGATGGCTATGATGGGCCTGTCGCTCCAGCTCCAAGGGAAGGCAGTGCTGAGAACTCAGGGCTCAGTATGGGGGCTCTCTGTACCCCAAGGTCAATCCTGGTCACCCCAGCTAAGGCCCCAGTTAACCCACCTCCAGATCATCCTCCATTCTGGTGTCCATCACCTTGAGATCTTTCAGGTATTTTCCCAGGAAGGGAACACACTGGGCAAACAGGGTGAGGGTGGGATGAGCCACTGCTCTCAGGTGCCGCACAGGCCCTCTCCTGAAAGCCTCCCCCCCTCAGCCTCCTGGCCCCCCCAGGGTTCCCATGTGGAGCGGCCCAGGTTCCCTAGGGCCTCCACTCAATTGCCTCTTCCCTCACTCTCCAGGAACTCCTCTTGATCAGCTCCCAGGACCTCCTTTGGGCAAATCACTGGGTCAGCGGTCCTGGGCCAGACCCACCCCCATGTCCAACCTGCAGGCACCTCCCCCAGGCCCTCCTCTTGGTCACTTCTAAGGGAGGGTTTCAGGTTCTGTGGGCACAGGAGGTGGGGCTGGAGGAGAAAGGCCTCCCTCTCTTGACTTGGAGGCCTCCAGCTGAGAGGACAGAACCCCCTCCTCTGACCCTAATCACCCCCAGACAGGCTCACTCACCTTCTTGTGCAACCTCTGCTTGGATCCAGGGACATAGAGCACCAGAGTGGCAAACCTGGAGGGCTGCTTCCACCAGGGTGGAGGACAGGGTCATTGAGGTCATGCTCACCTCACCCCATTTCCCCCATCACCCCTGACCACACACCCTGGACATCTGACCCAAGTCAGCTGGTACCAGTGCCACCCCGACTCCAGCATGCTCTGATTCTGGACGACTCCCAGCTACAACGCTCACTCGCTGTGTGTGACCTTAGGCCTGGGCCTGGCCTCCTTGACCCGTTCCCTCCTTTGGAAAGTGGGAGACCTCCACCGAGCTCACAGGTTCTCCTGAGGACTCAGTGTCATTCCTGTCATCCTTGTTCTCACCCTCAGCCCTCCAGGTGGCACAGGGCAGGGAGCTCTGCACTGTCCTGTTCTGTCCTGAACTCATGACCACCCTGTGAGGCCTGTAGCATGGGTGGTCACCCCTCCATGTCAATCACGAGGAGACTGATTGGCAGGGAGTGCTCTAGGGGCGCAGTGGGAAGTCTCAGAGAGCACACCCCTCTGTCTCTGGTCCAGACAGTAGGACCCGAGGCCAAGCAGCACTTTTGTTCCCCTTTCCCGTGGGAATCCCCTGCGGGGCCCATCCTGGGCAGGAAGGGCGCTCCCCTTGGAGGTGTGGAGAAGACACAAGTGGCAGCAGGGCCCTGGCATCCTGAGGACAGGCTGGGCTGGTTTGGGGAAGAAAC